CATTGTACAGTGGCATTAAGTGCCGTAATGTGCACCTCTGCCTACCCCTTCGGAGATAAAAGGCTGTTATGTTATGTTACGTAAATATATTGAGTACTTGTAGGAACTAGTAGAGCCTTTCTCAGTATATTTACACGAGTTACTCGTAATTTTTAGTTAATTCAGCATATAGTAACTGTAAAACATTTTGTGCATTGTGTACCAAGTTATTTTCATCTTTTCGGTTATCGTTAGTTTATGTAATGTAATAGTGACTGCACGATTGACGCGGTACCTGGGCAACTGACTGCCGTGCAACGTGTCGCGGGTTCGATTTGTTCCGGGTCTGGGTGTCATGTGTATGTGAACTTGTATATTTGTAAACGCACCCAAGACACAGGAGAAAATCGTAGTATGGGGCAACTTAAAAAAAAAAGAAAAAAAAAGTACCTACTAGTTAGTGCACAAAATTTTCAGACATCACTGAAAAAATCTGCATAACTAAAGCAAAATACTTTACTAAAAAACAAAGAAATTAATGAAGATTTTTCGCCACTGACGGACAGGGTCAAGTATAGAGAAAAAATAAAAAACCAGTCATAAGTCCACACTCGCTTCACATCACTTGTCAAATATTGTGTAAGTTGCACTTGGACGCACAAGTGATTGCGATTTAGCAATATATCTTCGGACCGACCTTCGCGATATTGGTAATATTTACCCGTTACTATGAGTATGGAATAATAGTATTTTTTTTAAGTAGCCGGGTCCTTCATGTGTCTGAAGTAGAAAAACGATAAAAAATAAAATGTATTCTTAGATTTTTGTTTTGATATTTAATATTTTCTCGTTGTTATGTTATTGGATGGAACAGGCGTAATACCAGCGTAGTTTCAAGTGCGATTTATGATAAAAAATCGAATGTCTGGTGCTTTAATATTGCTCTTTTATTATAAGGTATGTAATAAGAAAAAAATATTGTCATCAATGGGAAATTGTGATCGTGTCATCATACGTCAAATAATTATATTATTTGCACTATTACGGTTCGTTACATGTGTTAATCATGTAATAGAAACACAGGTAAGGAACCTCTAAATAACAGATATTAACGTTAAACACAGTACTTGCGTCATAGATAATCCCACTATTATTTTAGATAGATTTTGTAGAATAACAATGAAAAGATGCAGTTATTTTCCTAATGCAGATAGAATCTAAAGCTAATTTTATTAAATTTAATTTAGTAAAACAAATAATTTTGTTCTTTCATTTATACTATATTTTTAACTAGTTTTAATAGAATAATTATTGTCAGATGACTGACTCGTTGCCGAGTGGTCGCAAGTGCGACTGCCGGGCAAGGAGTCTCGGGTTCGATGCTCGGATCGGGTGAAGTACTACTTTAAAAAAAAGAAGGTTTAAAAGAAGTTCCAGTAGTAGCACGCAGTCTGGATTTGTGCCCGGTATATGACAATAGGCTCACCCCCTAATAATAATCCTTCCATGCCGGTTTCGGCTACGGCGGTCGTTTCGTGACTACTGGCGTCTATCATGGGCTCTCATGTGGCTGGAAAATCCACCTTTGTTTATAAGTGAGTGTTATACTGTACAGTAGCAGTAATTGCCATAATGTGCACCTCTGCCAACCCCTTCGGGGATAAAAAGTGTGATGTTATGCGTATGTACTGTGAGGTATATCTGAAAAGTATTCAGATAATATATTATGTGTAATAATACTACATGAAGGCTTTTTTTCAACGATTTAGGCTTCAAAAGATTATGTAATGTTATTTTTTTCTAAACTTTTTGTTATTTTGTATTGGCGTCGCCGACATTATAAATAGCTCAGTCAAAACAAGTTTTTTTCGTATCACCTACTTAGGTATAGGTCTTGACATTATTATTGAATATATAAGTAATATTTACATAACAATATATTTGCGTCAAAGATTTTGACAAGCCAATCATTTTTGGCAACATATAAAATAAAACAATAATAATATTTCAAGTATGTGCATAATCTGTTATCGTACACATGCTACCATTATCATAAACAATAATTAAAAATGAATAAAAATATTTGCAATTTTCAAAAATCTGTCTTCAGAAACATCTCGAACATTCTCTGATCGTGTGAACATGAGTTTTAGTTCACCAAAGCTCAGCTAGAGGGCGTTACCAGTCGCTTTCACCACAACCGCACATATTTGTGTGAACTTGTAACACTTCCTTCACAGTCAATGTCAGCATAGTTTTGTAATAGAAAACGTAAAGTGATGTGTATTCCGTACAACTGAAGGTATTGTTTTCATAAAATGCAAACTTTTTTTTTTTGAATAGCTAATAAAACAGGAATGACCTAAATGAAAAATTTTAAAACTTAAAATTTTCGTGGGGATGATGACAGGGTATGAAAATTAAAAATATAATTAGTCCGTAACTTAGGTAATAAAAAAATATTAGACACGTATTTTTTTATTTTGTTGTATAATAAAACAATACTTAGATAAAACGAATCAAAGTTTAGGAGTGGGGGCTAAAACGTCATTTCTTAGTATAAAATGTACTGAGAAGTGACGTCACGCGACATTTCAAATCAATATATCTTCGAAACTATTCGTTTCCGTAAGAAAATAAAAAATACGTGTCTAATGTTTTTAAATAATCTACCAGACGGACATTAAAATAAAAATTAGTCGTCTACCCCATTATGTCTCTGTTAATAGAAATTATAGTTATTTTTAAGTTTTTCTAAGTTTTCCGTATTTTCCTTATATTATAGTTTTTTTTGTACGCCGCCGAATTTCGAGTCGATTATGCATTAATTAAAGAGTTGAAAACCTATAATTTGCCTTTACTATACATCTATTAGACCCTTCGATAAATTATAGGCGATTATCAAATTAAATTTACGACTGTGTACATTCCATAATTATAATTAAATTTGTAAGATGCAATTGATTGATTCAACACTCGCATGTCAGAGTACGTGCAAAGAAACATTATGTTTAAGTGCGATTTATAAGCTGATAATAACTTGATTGATAAATCTTTTTGTAAAATTGATTTACGAACATCATTATCAATTAACAATCATTCTCTAATAACTAGTTCCAGAATATCCGCCCAAAACATTGTTCAAATAATTTATTCACAATTTTTGTTACGATTTCATACGATTTGCATATAAACAAAATTAATCGTTTCGTTTTCG